ATAAAAGCCAAGGATTTTGTTCTTCCGATTCCCTTTTAACATAACTGTTTCTTAACTCAGCTTTCCTGCTGGTGCTTTCCAGACAAGATTTGTAGATTTGGTCAGAAAAAGACAGTTGACAGTTACCAGTCGTCCAGCCTTTCCCTTTCATGTCTTTCACTGAAGGAAGTTCTCCTAAAAATATACCGTCAAATTTCATTCCAAAGAAAACCATGGAGAGGAAGGAGAATGCAGCCTGCTGGGTCTGAACCCGCTCCCCGTCTCTTTGGCAGGTTGGTGCCCACTCCCGTGGTTGTCTCCTTTCCCAGGCAAGGGGTTGGAGGACAGAGGCCATGGCATGGATAGGAGGGTGGTGCAGAGTAGATTGGTGTCTCCCTGCATCTCCCTGTACCCCTCCCTCAAACTTCTTAAGGATCCACTTTCTTTTAAAACACTCAAAAAAGCAGGTTCTGAAGAAATACTGTAATTCAGAGTTGCAAAATCTTATGAAAAAGCTTCTGATTCTCTGAAGGAGTGAATTTACACCAGACTTCTTCCCATCCATCTTTTCCTGATGGTTTACAACTGCAGAAGCTAGACTAAGCAAAGACTTGTCAATACTTTTTGTTTTTCAAATATCGTATGTTAGAGCTTTTCCCTTTAAAACAGAAGTATGAAAAACTGACTTTTCCTGGTACTCCTGGACTTTTCCCTAGGTTTTGATTAGCTAACGGAGAACTGCTTTTGTTTCTGTTAATGGAGTGGATGTCTGGCTTTGGTGGGTATTTCAGTCTTGGCTTCCATTTTGTATCGAGAACTAACAACCCGCTAGAAAAACTGAAGGAGAATGATTTACGATAATAATAACAGTGTTAATAACATCTCCTTAGCCTTCATCTGTTTCCTAACTGAAAGTGATTAAGGTGCTATGATTATGTAAATAATTAATAATCATATAATTAATTTTATATCTTTGTTGAATAACGTTTCCACCATGTGGGAGGAAACTACTATTCTGGTTAGGCTGATGTTGGATTGCTTGCAATGTAAATGTTGGTGTCCAAGAAATATAACAGGGACAAAAAAGGAGACAAATAACGTAATGGTTATTTTCATTTGTCTCTGAGGAAGTCTCAAAAACCATGTAAATGTTCTATGTTTTCATGAAAACACATGTTTTCTATTGCCCGTAAAAACACAACTTCAAATTAAACAAATTCAACTTGCTTGCATTAGAAAAGTTCATTTTAATTAGTCTAGTTACATACCTTTTAACAATACCAGTGTCAAATTACGATAATGCTGCATGACCTATAACTCACACATCTAAGAAATGCTGCCTTTCCTAATAGAAATGGAATAAAATCTTGTTCCTTTACCGTAAGTTGCACAGCATGTTGGATGAACAACGTTGTATGCTCGTCCCTAGAGAATTTGGTGTAAAACAGCTCCAAATTTTGTTTGGTGATCTCAGAGCTGGCTGAATAACTCCAGCCTTCCACAGCTCCAAATGTTGACATGCAGGGAGATGAGACTTTCAGATATTAAAAACCTGTTTTGTGATACTGAAGGAGATTAGTTTTTGGAATCCATTCATTGACACAAAGGCCAATGCTGAATGGAGGTTATATTTATTGTCTGTGAAACCCCAGAGTTAGCTGAAATCACTTTAAGCATGTACATGCGTACATGTATTCTCTCACATTTAGCCAACTCCCCGTGATGTTGGTTTCTTTGAGCCAGGAGCAGACAACTTTCAGGGACTTGGCTTGAAAAGATGTGTGCATGTAACACCCTCTGTCACATTTTACAAGAGGCTACAATCAAGCAGTCTTTATACTTGGATTGTCTAGACACTGTGACAAAGTGGGAAAGGGCAAGTGAGAGAAAAAGCCCTTTTTGTCAGTCTTTCACTTTGCATCAAATTCTCCTTCCCTGTGCGCTGCCACTGCCAGCAAAAAGATAAAGGGAGCAAAACCCAAACAAAAATCAAGAAACTGATAATTCACTGGGTTTCTATTCGTATCATTCCTAGTAAAAAGAAAAACCGAAACCATTATTTTTCTGAAACTACCAGGTCATATGTATACCATCTCCTGGTTTGTTCAGTTTTTTTCAGAATTAATATTTTGAACAATTTTATTTTTGCAGCTGATCTGTAGTTTTAACTTCTTCCTCATCAACGCATAAAGGGAGTGTGTAGGGCTGTCTTGTCAGCACTTGTAAATTGGTATGTGAAATCTTCCCAGATTTCAGTGGAGATTTTTTCCCTGCTCAGCTGAACATTTGTGAATGAGCAACAGGAAAATCCCTTTCCCCCCACCGCTCTCCCAGATTTCATGTTTCCTATCTTTTTTTCTTTCATTCTTTCATTTTCTACTTTTTCCCGTGAAAACACTTGGGAAAAAATAAGAGGAGAAACAGAGCTGGGAGGGGAAAAGAAGGAGGCAATGGAGTTTCACAGGAAGGTAAGGTTACAAGCCAACAAAAAGGCTGCTGAGATTCTTCTTTAAACAGTAAAACCTGCATATCACTTCACCTTTTTGAAGTGAATAAGCATATGTTCCAGCACGAGTCCTGGAATCATCCTCCCACCCAAAGCCGCCCTGGGCTCTGCCCATGCTGACAGCAGTGAGATGAGCCATCGCCCCACGGGGCCCTCACCCTCCCTGTGGTCCTGCTTTGCTCCTGCAGTGTTCCCTGGCATTGCTCGTGGGGCTCCTTGGCTCGGAGAGGACCTTGGAAAACCTCACCTCTGAGTGACATCTCCAAACAGAGGGTCTCCAGAGCCAGACCGCCCTGCTGTTGAAATGGGTAAAAGCAGCAGAGATTATCTGCGCAAGCAGTTTTTCACAGCTGACACGAAGCTGGCCGGGGCGCCTCTGCCCCCATGGCGGTCCCTGTGGGCTCACCTGGAGCCACTGCTGGTCCCAGGGATGGACAACCTCAAGCCCCAGCATGGTACCCCACACCTCCAGCACCGACCCAGCTACCAGAGCGAGCAGAGGCTGGAGGCCGGCACAGCTGCCGCAGCAGCAGCAGCACCAGTGTGTTTTGCAGCCTCCGGGCTGCAAACCCCTTGCTCTCGATCTGTTGTCACTTTAGTTTCTTGAGGCATCCCAGCTCATGCCACCTGTTGCAGCAAGTGCAGAGTTGAGAGTCCTTGTTTCTGTTCACATGAAGAGTTAAATGTTTTGGTGAGGGAACTCTGCTGAGTGAATGTGGCATCTTGAAGGAAAAAGAGAAATGCAAAAAGGGCGCCTTTAACTTAAGCTAAGAGCAAGAGACAGTAGACCTGTGCTAACTGCAGGCAATACAGCTCAGAGAAATACATTAAAATGGTGCTTGTTTTTCTGAACAGGGTTTTAGAATAACTGGAAGTATCTTCAAATTGTAGAAAATACCCTTCAACAGAAGGGTTTTTTTAATTAGGTAGGTTACATTTAGGAAGCAGCTATCCAGATTGTGGACTGTCACAGACAAGCAGGGAGCTACTGCATAATTTTTCAAGCATTAGCAGTGGAGGAATACGCTTTTTCTGAATCCCATGAGTTTGTCAAAAACAATTTCTTGTGTTGATGTTGGGGTAAGGCATACAAAATAGCCAGCCTGGCAACTATGGAAAAATGAGGATATTTGGAAAAGGATAGGCTTTATGTTTACCCTATGTGATGGATATTGGCTGAAATGCAAAAAGAAATACAAAAAAAAGTAGTTCTTCGCTATACTTTTTTTTTTTTTATGTTTTATGCATTTTCTCCCTGTCTATTTGTATATTCTGGACAAAGTATTTCCAGTAATTCTAATCTTTTCAAAGATTTTTCTGTTGTCACTGCACTTCTTGCAGCCCCAGTGTTTAGAGTATGTTGTTTGTGTGCCAGATGATGTGTAAGAGTCACCGTACCGTTTCAGATCAAGGGTGCATCTAGACGAGTATCTGATTCCCTAGACTCATCACGCCCAGCTTCAGAAACTCGGGTTTTGTGTCTAGATTCAGCTCAAGTCAATAGGAAAGAGTTTGGTAACACCAGCACATGGATTATGAGATGGTAGTTGACAGATGAAAAACAATACCAGGTAACAGGACTAACCTCGGAGGGCTGCTTCTAAGGTGTGGCCAGTCACCCTCTGTCTCCCTCCATCTAGAGAGAGGTGGGCACCTAAAATTAAGAGAAATTAACCCAGGTCCTGGCAATGCCCCACAAGAGTGCTAAACAAGAGGTTACAAGAATGAAAAAACTTAGCGCAACCTTTTCCAAGCTGTACCCTCTTGGTTTCTTCCTGTCTGGGATCTGGACTCGGAGACGCTCTGCATTTGACGTGCTAATTCCTCCGTTACTTTCTCTAGTTTTTTAACTCATGTATACCTTTGGCTGCCCCACCATCCACTACCAGAAGGTTTACACTTCTGTTCAGTACTGCATAAAAGGGCGCTTCCTTTTGTTTTCGTTGTGCCATCGGATGAGCTCCTTCCTACTTTCCTGTGCTGTGCTATCGGCGCATTGTGTCTGCTTTTCTGCCCATCACGCAGAGCTCCAGCAATGGAAAAAGGTTGTATTGCCTTTAGGTGAAGTCAGCTCTTGTGTAGTTGGCAAGGTCAAACATGAAGCGTTAGCTAAGTACCTCTCTGTGTTTGGGGGGCAGACTTGAACACCTCCAGCTGCACTTTTTGGCCAAGTCCTTTGCCTGCCAGTTGTGCTCTCCTGGCAAAGGGTGCGCGAGAGGGATTTCATCCTCTCGCTACCTCCGTGCAAGCCATTGCCTGGCAGGGCTGGGCAGAGAGCTGTCACTACCCTAAAGAGCAGGCAGGACCTCCTTCCCTTGGTGGGAAACCACTGCAAGGAAGATTTCATGTGAGCTTTTCCCAACATGTTGCTGTTTATATTCAAACCACTGTGGGTTTTTTTCAAAGTACTTAACTTTTGAGCCATGAACTTAATTTGATCCTCATCATATGTGGGTTTGGGGGAGATCTGGTGAGCATCAATATGTGAACACCTGTCCTTTCCTTCCTCTCCTAGGATTTTAGATAATGGGCTGTGTGCAATGTAAGGATAAAGAAGCAACAAAACTGACTGATGAGAGGGATGGCAGTTTAACTCAAAGCTCAGGCTACCGCTATGGGACAGATCCCACTCCGCAGCACTATCCTAGCTTTGGTGTGACTTCAATCCCAAACTACAACAACTTCCATGCCACAGGAGGCCAAGGACTGACTGTGTTTGGTGGAGTCAATTCCTCCTCTCATACAGGGACGCTGCGTACAAGAGGAGGAACAGGTGAGTTTCAAAGTCATCTTTCAGTGCTCTTAGTGAGTATCAATCACATAATTACAGCAGAGGCACGACTGTCTTAGCATGCTGTTTTGGGAAGAATTACTTCATGAAATAGTGCAAAGAATTGAAGTAGGGGTGGAGCTGCATCTTCAGCCCTACCTTTGCTAACTTGCAGGTGCTAGTTCACTTTGAGGGGGTGAGAAATTATGTATACGTGCCCTATTTGGCTGACTGACTGCCTCATCCCTCTACCAGGGAAAGGAAAGTATGGTCCAAGCCACCTCAAGTAGTTAACAGGAAATACTTGACATGGCTATGTCTAAACTCCCTCTTCAAACCCCTTTGCCCGCTTGGGATTCTACACTGTGTGGATACCAAACCAAGAGTATGATGACTGTACAGAGTGAAGGAGGTGGCATGCCTGCTGGCTGTGTAAAAACAGAGGGATTAGAATGGTCCAAAAAGTAAGAGGCTTCAGTTTATCTTGCTCCTCAGCAACCAGAGTAGCTTACCTTTGGCTTAGCCACCTCATCTCTTGAGGCTCCTTACCCTCCTGTTTTTTGTGATGGAGTGTAACTCACCTATCTTCTTCTTTAGGTGTAACTCTTTTTGTGGCGCTTTATGACTATGAAGCAAGAACAGAAGATGACTTGAGTTTTCACAAAGGAGAAAAATTTCAAATACTTAACAGCTCGTAAGTTTTAGGCTGGGGAATATGCTTTTTAATATTTTTAAACTTTTAATGCTGACAATTATATTGGCTTATGTTATTAGTAAAATCTAACGTTGGATATTCAAGATATGTAGGGGTTTACTCTATGCTTACTTACTTGTCTTTGCATTTAGTGCGCGTTTGCAAAGTGCTTTGCTATTGAAAAAAACCCCTTCAACCACATGCAGCTTCACTTCAGAAGTAAGCATTAGCTTGTGTGATTCACTGCTTAGATTGCACAGTAAACTTACATTCAGAACTGAGAGTACCAGCTCTGTTCTTTACCAGTAGTCACAGAAGTTCCTCAAGGCACATACTAACACTTTTTGCAATCTGCTGCAAGTATCTACACAGAAACGAGCTAAAAACTGATTCACAAAAGAGACGTTACACAGACTTGCGTGCCAAGTTTAAAAGCGTTTTTTTTCCCTTTTAAAGGTAGGTGATACAGTCAGAACATGCTAGGAAGTTCTGTTAAGTGAGAATGCACCATTGTACAGTTGCATTTGGCAGGAAAGCCACACTTCCATCCTGAAAATCATCAAATTAAAATTAATTTTATTATTAACTGCCCATAGAAAAAGATCCCTTAGCAATTTAAAAATAACATCTAAAACTTACTGTGCTACTGACCTATATCTGAACATCTTGTAATTCTTGGCTAAGAACATAAAGTTGAAGGCTCTCTGTTATGTTCAGTATTCCTATCATGTAGAGGTAAAAATGGGTTAACAACCAAGTGTGTCACTTTCTAGAGGCTTTGTGATATTACTCTCATCTTTTTTTTTTTTGTTACACTGTGTGGCAGTGAGGCAAATTCATCCCTGGTGCAACTCCTGTTAATTTTAATAGAACAACTCCAGGGTTGGAGTTGGCTCAATGTGCATTAAAGTTAAAAAAAAAAAAAAAGTCAGGTAATTCTGTGGAATATTTCATGAAGCCATGAAGCTGAAGAGCTTTGATGTAGATGAAAGCACAGAAACTTCAGTTACGACTTGTAGAGGGAGCAGCAGTTTAAAAACCTCTCCACTTCTAAATTAGCACTTGGAAAAAAACCCTTTTTTAACCTGTCATCCATTTTTGTTCACATTGCCTGCTGCTTTCCTAACCTTGCACAAACTATTCCATAACTTGAAACAAGAAGAAATTCCACACATTATAAATTCCTTACGCATGCTAGTTGATGAAATCAGGGGGTGCTCACCAGGACTGCGGAGCAGTCATGCTTGGAGTCGGTGGGACAGAGAGATACCCCCACGTGTGGGTTGCTGCAGTACATGCATTTTGATGCAGGTAATTACTGCCTGAAGGAAGGTTTTCTAAGAGAAAAAAACCCCAAGCATCCACTGATTTTCTTGTAGGATTATAGAAGCTCAGTTCCCATCGTAGGCAGCTTTGTCTGCTTATAAACACAGACCTAACCACACTCCTGGATTACTGACAGCCAGTCTGGGAATCTCCAGAAAACAGCTTTTCTGTGAGAATTCTTGCTCTCTTCACTTATATCAGAGATGATATGAAAGGAGCCCATTTTTTTTAGGAGTCTGCCAATGCTGCTTGCAACCAGGAAGCATATATGTGCACAAAACTACATTGTTTGGAATTTTTGGAGGGGTTTGGATTTTTTTTAGCTCTCAACAAATGAAATTTGATTTGTGCTTTGGATTGAAAGTTCAGGACAGCAATACCTGGATTAGCGTACAGAGGGTATCCCTGTGATTTGAAGTCAGAAATGATACCAAGGGCAGTCTGGGGGAAAGAGGTACCTGCAAGGGTGGTTCAGAGCAGAGCCTGACTTCGGGGCTCAGCCATCCCCTGCATCTCCACTGCCGCTCCCGGCACACCCTGGCTAGCCCCATTGACTAGCCTCCTCCTACCTCAGCTGGGTGCCTAAAATTAACAGCTGTGAAAAAAGTCTGCATTCCTCCTCCTTTCTGGCAGCGCTTTCAGAGATTTAAGCTTCTCTGTCAAAGCAGAAGGGGTTGTTCCTGATGTTGTGATCATCTACAGGACTGCTTTTTTCCTCCCTAGATATGATAAAATACCTCCATCTAGTGGACTCTCTGTACAGTTAGGAGAAGAAATGTAATGGTACAATTTATCAACTGCAGTATGGCATAATCTCTCAGAAATATTCTACAGCAACATATGGGGGAAGGATTAGCACTTCAGCTGATAAAATTAGGGACACAAACAGATAGGGCCGTTTGCCCGACATACTAATGCACACAAGGTGTATTAAAATAGTGTCAGCTGCCAGCCTCTAGAAAAGCTTCTTGCTTGTTTGAACTGTAGAATTGGAAACATCTCCTTTTTGACTAATCACAGCTGTTTTCTAGTTGTTTTCCATAGAGTTCATACTCCTTCAAACTGTTAAAGAAAGTGGAGTTGAAAATTTAAAATAAGAGCTCACCTTGACACAACCTTTCCTGCCAGAAATAGCTTAGGCAATATGTTTTCTGTAACTGCTTGCTTACAGAAGAGGCTGAATTCTCTGGCCACGTTTGATAATGGTGTTTTATTTAGTGAACAAATCTCTATTTTACAGAGAGGGGAACTGAGAGTTTCAAGCAGTCCAGAAATAGAAAAGAGAATGCTTATTAGTAGCAGTAGGAGTTAAACGTCAGTGAATCTGGTGCTAAGAGTGAAATACAAATTGCTAAATCCCGAATCGTTGCATCCTGTAAAAAGCTAAGAAATAAAATTCTCTTAAAGCTACACATTCTACAGCAACGTGCATTGTCTGAAGGGCAGTACCATGTACACACGCGTGTATGAAAAAATTGATGCTAAGCCTGTAGAACACTGCCATAAGATGGTCCTGCATGGACCTCTTCATATTTAAATGTTATAGAAGAATGGTTTTTTCATAAGTATTTGAAAATGCAGCTAAGTCCTTTGCTACTTCAGATACCTCCTCTAGGTGACCAAGAGAGGGAATCTAGACAGTGAAGTGAGATCCTTAAGGGCTATCTAAAACACCATGTTGATAGATGGCTTTTTGATGCCTTTGGATTTCAGATTAATTATCCCTATAGAAGTTTAAAATCAGCAGTGGATGTGACAGTGTTCAGTTTGGCAGTGTTTCTAAAAGCCATCTCAAGGGTCTGTATTAGAATAATTGCTATGGAGACAGTTTTCAATATTCTGGTCCAAATCCAGCCCTCAGCAAACCTGATTCCACTGCGTTGTTATGCCTGTTTATGCCATTATTCTACATTTGGAAGGCTACATTGCTAATCAGCACTGAAATAATAATAGGTGTAAAGAAATACATATATTATTTGGGTTTAGATGCAAACAGCTCTCTCAGAAGCACACCAATGATGAAGAGATGAGTTGTGAATTCTTACGCCACTCAGCTGCGGGTGCTGTTAGCAAAGTCAGATCATTGTCTTTACAGCTGTGTCTCCTTCTCACTTCTCCTCCTTACCTCTGTTTCTGCAGGGAAGGAGACTGGTGGGAGGCCCGGTCCTTGACAACAGGCGAAACTGGTTACATTCCCAGTAATTATGTGGCTCCAGTTGATTCCATCCAAGCAGAGGAGTATGTTTTCTTTTCATTGTAAAGACCCGTTAGTGCTGTATTTGAAGGAGGTTCGAGGAGTTGGTTTTGATTGATTGCAGCGATTTTTCAAATGACTTACATTATTTTTATTTCAGTTCTTAACTGCACTGATAAATAATTAGGTAATTAGGAACAAAAGAAGCACAAGCTCAGTGCTTTTTCAATGTCAAAACAAAGGAAGAAAACCTAAAGGAACAGAGGTCTGCTTCCTTTATTTGAGTGTCAAATAATTTCAAGCTTTATGCAAAAGGTGCCCTTGCTTTTCCTGAACCAACTTGTAAAAATATTTGGAGTCAATTAGTGTGCAAACTGTCTATTAAAGAGGGCACATTCTATCAACAAATACCTACCAGTAGGTAGGATGCTTGCAACACATACAGCAGGCAGCATAATGAGGACATATGTATGCAAAAAATGGAGTGCTGTGTGTATCCATATTATTTCCAGTATAAAAGATACACTGGAGGACCCTATATAGCTGAGCAGGTACTAATGTCATCTGTACTTCAGGTTGTACTTGGTTGATTGTGAAACAAAAAAAAAAAAAATGCTGCAGGAAGGAAAAAGGTACCGAAACTCTGAAAGCCTTATACAACCACAGTAAAATGGTTGCATCTGGTGCTTCTACTGAGGTTTTATAGCTCTGCTGCAACAAAAATATTGAAAACTAATACATCACTATGTAAGCCAAATATGTAGTTTATAGCAACATCTGTAAAAATACTGCTCTTCGGCAGCGACACATTTTTCTGCCCTTTTCCTTATCTGTTCCTTCCTCCCGCCAAGTCTTGCTCTCTGACAAAGTCTGGCCTTTGTCATAAGACACCAAACAAGCATTCTCAGCATCTAGTGATTATGGGCTTAATGCAAAGTGCTACTGCACAACGTATACAACATCTACTACACAGTTTGTCACATTAGCTTCCCACCACAATAAAAGAGACACAGTATGACAAAAATAGTTGAATATACTTGAGTAACCATAGTTTCCGCAAATAATCCTCCCATGTCTGAGCTCCATGACACTAACTAGTAATCCTATGTAGCATCTGTCTTACTATTTCTGATGTTTCCCTAAGGTGGTACTTCGGCAAACTTGGCCGAAAAGATGCTGAGAGGCAGCTGTTGTCATTTGGAAACCCCAGAGGTACCTTCCTGATCCGGGAAAGTGAAACTACCAAAGGTAGGCTGGCCAAAGCTATTCTGACTACAAATGAGAAGACATATGAGAAAAATTGTCCTAAGTTTGTGAAATACTGTTTTCAGTGGTATGAAGGTAGAGATAAGTGTCATCTTGCATATATGTGTGCTAGGGAATTAGATGTCTGGACATCCCAGGTCTTTGAGTGTTCTAAAGCAGAGAACAACCCAAGTGCAACCCATGCCATGCTCAACCCATGGTATCTGCAGTGCAAGTCATGCACAGGCAGGGTGCTCTGCTCTGCTGTCACACTCTGGACATCACACTGTCTCTCAACGCATGTGTTGAAGATACCACTACTGCAATGGATTTGGGTGGAGAGTGACCCCTCAGAACAGCAGCTGTGGAGGCAGACCTCCTGGTGTCCATATTCAAGTCCGGGCACAGCCAGCTAGCTTACTGTGAACAGATGCTGGGAATCTCCAGTCTAGTTTGGTGAAAATTGCTGCTTACTTCTGAACAAGCAGAATATTTGAACCTTCTTGTCTGGAAGATGTAAGATAAGATTTTGGTGGGGAGGGAGGTACCGGTTATTATTTTGGGAAGATTAGGGGGTTTTTTGGCCTTTCCCCTTTGAAATGCTGGATCCTGGGGCAGGGAGGGCGGGGAAGATGTAGCAGTTTTAAATTCATAGATTAACAGTGAAAAGACTTGAAAATATTTCTAATTAATATATGCATAAATCATTCAACTTTATCCATTCTGTTGAAGTCAAGTGGAAGGATGTATTCTCCTCCTTCCCTCTAAAAATATTGGAGGAGTTCCAGTTTTCTTGGTGGGTGCTATCTTTGTTTTTGTTCATGAGGCCTGTCAACATCTTCTTCAAAGCTTCACATGTATGAAAAGATCTCTCTAACTCATACAACTGTTGAGGAGAAAACCTGCAACTAAGTGAAAACAAACCTGGCCATTTCTCAATTAACCAGAAATCCAAACCAATAGCTGTGGGAAGCATAACTCCCTAGAATTAATTCCATGTAAGTTCTGAAGTCTAACGATGGTTCATGTAATTAAAGCACTGACTTGTCAGCGCTTTGATCAGAGCACACTCTGTCAGCTAGAGTTAGCATGCAAAGTGGTTGGAGTCATGGCTGGTAAAGGGGCTTAAAGAAGAGAAGCACTACTTCCCACTCCTCTCTACCTGACCTATCTTCAGGTGCTGCATTCTGTCATCTAAAATTGTAAGTTTTACATTTTTGACTCCTGCAGTCACTGGATTCTTCCTTCACTGCCCATAACTCTGAAGACTGTTTCTGATGCAAAATCCAAATAGACATGCCGTTGTTTCAGACAGCTAATTTCCCATCTTGTCACCCCACAGCTTCACCATACCTTATGTAGCAGTGAGGCATTCTCACCAGGAGCAAGACAGGCTCTAACTTGCTCTTTTTCTGCAAATAGCATCCACCTGTTCATTTTCACCACCAGTTGTTGTGATGTGTACGAGGAGCTGGACTTCATTCCACTCTGTGCTGAGTTTAAAAACTCACTCATATAGACATAGGCATCCATGGACTCTAAAAACAAACACAACACTGTTTCCCCAAACCACATTATCAGTTTAGTCTGATTGGACCATTTTTTGTCCAGTGATAGGGGATATGTTTTGCAGGGCTGTTTACTTAGCTAAGTCAGGGCTTTTTTCTAGAACTTCTTGTGAGACACAAAAGTGTTGGGGAAATGGAGTAATCCATCATGGATGGACTTACAGCAGCAAGCTTAATTTCTCTGCATTTGAACTTAAGGCTTTTACATCTTCAGGCTAAATTTGCATCAAAGCCATTGGAAAAACCAAACACGCATGGGTTTTGTCAAAAACACCTATTGCCCTTCTTATCCTTATGGTATTTCAGTATGTTGTTAGAAGAAAACAGAGGGAGCTTGTTGTTCATGAGTGAGAAAAAAAGTAATCTGGGGGGACTTGAATGGTGCATTCTCCCATAAGTCTTCTCAAAATGCCTTACTCCAGCTAGTCATCTTGGGCTTGAGGCAGGAATTGTTTTGTGACCTAGAATTGTCCCTTCTGCTTTAAATAATAACAATAATAAAATTAGTCAGGATCATGTTAAAATTATCATCATGGATGACTTCAGCATGAATTTAATCTCCCTTGATCATGGTTGCCTTCTCTTTTTACTTCCAAAATAAATCCTATGGAGCTGGCTTTTTCAGTGCCTGACTACCCAGGTACTTCATCAGCTCTTGTCTGTATAATCCTTCACCTGGTTTCAATCTCCACCCTCCAAGGCTGCCTGGTTTTAGGTTTGTTTTTTTAAAAAAGTCATTAGTATGATACATTGTAATGTCGTCTTTCTATCCAAATTTTTGTTATATATATCTCTAACCTTTGGATTTATCATCAGATAATAATGAATAGTATAAATAACCAACAGCCTAAATAAATGAATAATGAAATCTATCTTGGTTCTTGTTTTTGTCCAGATTTGAACTAAAGCTCTAGTCCTGCAACTTGATCTGAGGTCAGTGGCGGTCCACAGAGGGCCACCCACACAGCTCTGATTGCAGACCTGGAGCCACAGATTGTTTACATTTTCCTAAAGAATCTAAAATACTGACCAGATAGGCAGGGAGCGTGACTAAAGAAAATACAGCTGCTGCCAGTGGATCAAAACTCACAAATGCGGAGGTGGAGAACACTGCCTTGAAAAATTTGAAAGTGGGGTGGCAGTGTACAACCCAGAGTGGTGGTACAAAGCATGCACAAGATGTGCTTGCAAATCCCCAAAAAGCTTTGAACTCCTAGCTGACATGTACTTGCTCAGTGGGAGGAGGACCTCCTCAGAAAAATATCCTAAACAAACAGTATTTTTCTACACTTAGAAATAAAAACCCTGTCACTCCTCTCAGAGTGTCTCCCATTCGCATAAACTAGAATCATCTGTGTGAGTGCTGGCTCTTTTCCTCCTATTTAGAGGACAAACAACAGGGGATTTGAGAAGTCCCTGGAGTCGGGGTGGAGACGTTTCATTCACTGCAGCTCCCTTGGCGGTGAGCCACCCACCAGTGCGACCTGTTGCAGGTTAACATGGTCAGGGAAACTTCCTCCTGGGGGGACATCCAGGAAAGACATCTTACACCAGGAATATCAACCACCTAACTGTTCTTTAAACCATTTCACTTAGCTGGAGATGGTTCTGGAGGATGTGAACCTGCCAGGTGTGTTGAAAAGTACCCTGACTTGGGATAAGCAGCAGTCGGTGCTGCTTGCTATCAGACCTGTAGGAAATCACTCCACCTTTCATATTGTCCAAAATTGTCCGCTGGTGGTTTTCCTTTCCTGCCCTTAGCTGACATGGTTACCAGTGAAAGCAGCCCAGGCTCCAGAAGGAGGACCTTCCTGAGATCTCTGCGGCTGCCAGTTACCTCCAGTTTTTTTCCTTTTAGTGTCTGAATTACCTTTGAGTAAACACAATATTCGGCTGAGCCAGGAGTGAAGACTTGTCTTCTCTACTGCCTTTGAAATGGCCATGGTTTTGCTCAGAAACTGCATTATGCTGTAAAATGTGGCTTTGCTTTTGACACTGTAGAGAACCAACACGTGGGTGTCACTGTCACTGTGCTTCAAATTAAGACACCTGAATGCGCAGGTCCCTATGTAGGTGGCCAAGCTCTCTTTACAGCCTGTGGGAAGCTGGGGTTCAGTTCAACTGCCCACGACTGCAGACACCTAGTGCTCAAACCTGCGTTACGCCATCGATATCTACAGTGCCGTAACACTCATGGAAACCAGGCTGGGATTCAGCTGCCCTAATAGCACCAGAAGCTTATGTGTGGGCATCTAAATCAAACCCATAGCACACCTGCAGACAGCCACCACTATATCTAAAACTAAGTCCAGCCCCTCGGCTGAGGTTCCTTTACCTGGCCATGAGCATCCAGAGCCATTTGAAATGCCTGCAGGGCATCCATGTGGATCGGACAAGTGTGACATTCTGTGGGAAAACTGCCAAGCAGGATGTCCTGGGGCATCTCACATGGCACTTAACCCCTGAGTTTGGGCATCTGAATCCCACCAGTTAGCTCTAAAGCCCCAGCATGGATTTGGAAAGCGAAACATGCAGTTCTTGCAGATCTCCTGGTGCAGTCTTGGTGTAGTACGGCCTTCCAAAGACTGTGACGTACGAAGTATGCTGATTTGGTTGTTTAATGTTTATAAAGAAGTTTGGGATCCATCTGGGTAACAACACTACAAATATATAAAGTCATTATCTCCAGTGCTTCCTATGAAAATCTTGATCATTTACCTGAAGTATAGTATTTGCAATGTAACCTAACACTTAGAATAGGAAAAGTCAATTTAGCAACCTGAAGCAGTAAATGTTAAAGTCTGAGTTTTCATTTACACAAAAGTCCTGATTTCTGTCTAGAAAAGTTTGAAAGGGACATGGTGTGAACATCGTAAGATTTCTGTGATACTTACTTCATTGTGTTAGATTCACTTGTTCTTTTTCAAGGTACAGTAAGCATTTTTTGGAAGCAATTTCTCTTTCACTTTCTAACAACTGACCAGCAAAACAAACTCTTTGTGTCTAAAAGCCACTTAAAATTTTTTATTTCTCCTTTGCTTGGAACAGGTGCCTATTCCCTGTCTATTCGAGACTGGGACGATATGAAAGGAGATCACGTCAAACATTATAAGATTCGTAAACTTGACAATGGTGGATATTATATCACAACTCGGGCACAATTTGAAACTCTTCAGCAGCTGGTTCAGCATTATTCAGGTAATTTTTCAGATAATACATGGCACTCTGAAGTATTTTAAAACAAAAGTGTTTGCTGCTGAGCTGATGTATGTGTGAGACGCCCTAAAGAGTCATTTGAGCTATGTCTCTTGCTTGTTGTAATGCATCTTCCATTATCCCTTTCCCATTATGCTTATAAATGGCTTTGAGTGCAGTTCACAGTGTACAGCAGCAGAGCTTTTAAAAGCTAGCACTCTACTGAGGTAAAGGTTTTGCCTGCTCTCCCTCTTCTAAGCAAACAGAATTACTGAATTTAACTTGCGCATCTCAAAGCATGAATTCCCTGTGCATAAGCGAGATCTAATATGTACCGTTTTGCAGCACACTATTGCTAATAAAGCAAATGAGGAATTGCATTGTGGAATTCAGTCACTTAAAGCAATGACCAAAAGGTTTGCATATATTACCTGACTCAAATTTTCCCACTGGATTTGTGTTCAATGTGCACAGTATTAACATTTAAATTATAATCAGTCTAATTTTAAAAATAAATAGGGCACGGTGGATGTTTCTTTATGCACACTGTTTGTGTCTACCCACCAAGCTCTTTTTTTTTTTTTTAAATTCATGTGATTAAAATGTGGCTTGCACCATTCAACACAAAGGTGCATCCTGCTGTCACTGGCAATTGATGTACAACAGATACAACTTTAAAGCCCCCCAAACCTCTGCATAGGACAAACAGTTCTTATGTAGAAGACTGCCATGCTTCTCAACATGGTCATTTTTTAAGCAGAAATTTGTATGTTGAATTATTTTGCTTTTTTTTTCCCCTTACTTCAGCTTTTCATAATATTAACAGATGACCTCAAATGCTCACCACTCAAAAACTTTTCATAATTTTTACTTGGGAAACCAACTTCTCTGTGGGGTGTTTTTTCTGTATTCTTTGTATTCTGTCTGCTGTATTCTTATGCTATTCATACTAGACATCTGGCTGTCTTCTCTGCCCAATTTCTGATGGGTGTATGCTGCCTGGGGGAATTTCTAGTTGTTTCTGGTGACTCTACATTAAACTAAGCTAAATAATGTATAAAAACTCACATCTAAGGAAGATAATTTTCAACCCCGCTATGCCAGCTGGTATATATAAACTTTTAGTTTTCTGTGGTCAAATTATTTGGGTGGTGCATTTTCCATGCACAGATGCAGAAACAAATAGATCTCGAAACAGCCGTTTCTGTGCAACACGGAGGCCTAATCAGTAGCATCCAGGTAGGGTAGCTCAGGAGGGCATGCCACAGACCCACACTCCAGAGGTTTCACCTGCGGTCTCCCAGACCCAGGTGAACACAGGAGCCCTCACTCCATGTCAGCCCCAGCTGACTCGAAGCATAAAGGCTGCCTCTAACTGCCTGCGCTGCACTCTGCATTGCGGGAGGTAGATTAGCACAACGCCTTGTGAGTTAGCCTAGATTTACTTCTAGGGAGAGCTCAAAGATGCCCAAATGACTCCATAAAGAATAGCATGGTTCCTGAAGAATCGCTGCTGAGACCGTAGGTCAGTGCCTTCACAGCAGGACAGGTATGCTCTGCAGCCCACCCTTCAGCCTTTATCCCATGGCTGTCCAGGCTGGAGGACCCCTCCTGTCCAGGCAGCTGGAAACCCGGCTACCCAGGTCGGCAGCGTGCAGTTTGGTCTCATGTAAGCTGTCCTGTGCCGGGAGTTGGAAGGACAAAATGTACCTTTGTGCAGACACAGCATAGGTATCCCTGTACTGTGCTCCCATTGCACAGTCAAGTATCTTACTACCCAGACTTCGCTCTTATCCCAGCCCCTTCTTACGTGGATAATAAAGTTAACTGCAGTGTCTGGACTTTCACAGATGAGATTTACAGATGAAAAATATTGAGATCCCTAGGGTGTCCTGATGTCAGACTAAAGTCCAGTAACGGTACGTCTGAAGTTGAAGCACCATTCACCCAGTCCCTAACAGACGGGCTGTCAAGCATAAGCTCTTGTGCGTGCAGTCTAGGCTTAACTGGAGCACCAGCGTGCCAAGCTTTTTTTTTTCAATTGAAGAAAACAAGGAGGTCTTAAAAACCTCCAGTTTCTTTCTGCAGCTGTCCAGACTCATAAGGAAGCTTTCCAGACACTATCCGCATTTTGAGTAGTCCCTACCCTAATGTTCCCATTGGAATTATCTTGGAATAAGACATGCCAACTGGTCAGCTAATCTTCCCTGTTTTGCGGTCTTTGTTGTCGTGCTACAGGAGACGCAACAAGGTCCATGTCAGGGTGTCTGTAGGGACTGCCCTGCCATGCCACAACATTTGTGCTGAGGAGATAGAGCTTGGCGTTGCAAGGAGCTTCACTGCTTGCCCACCTTGTGATGCTGACGAAAACTGTTCACCTGCCCAGAAAGAAATCTTGCACATGAGATTAAAGATTTTGTTTGAGTCTGAAGTACAATTGCAGTTCCCCACCTTGTTCTCTTGCTCTGCTGCACCTGTTTTAAGATATAAGTCGCTGTGCAAGCTTTATATTGTAGTCTGCTTTGTGCAGCATCGTATACTACACAACAATATGTGTGTGTATATATATTTTATATATATATATATATATCATTGTTTTTACTCCTGACTTTTGTCACATTTCAGTCTTCTGTGAAGCTTTGCAAGAGATAAGTATAATGAGTCTGCCTCAAACAATGTAGGACCGGCTGCTTCCACTAATAAAGGTTTGCTCTAGAAAGAATGACAGAAAAAGTCTTTTGCAAGACACCTACAAAAACACCCTTTCACAGAGTAGAATATAGAAAATACCTTTTCCCAGGATACCTAAGAAAAAAGTAGCAAAAAAGTCCACCAAATTTTCACTGCTGTGATTTTCAGAAAAAGTGAATCTTCTCTGTGTTTCTTTTACTCAGTACAGAAACAATCCAGTTTGTGACTTACAGATGATTTTTAAAAAGTTATGCTGTACTATAGTGTACTCATGAAGTTATCTTGATGCAGCATTGTGGGAGAAGGGAAATCGTGAGTCCACAAGATAAACCATTGGCGGTCACCTTCCTTTTCAGGCTGTGGAAGCAGAGACTAAAATATTTCCTGTTCTGTCTCAAATGAATATGTTTCAGTGTTCAATTTCTAATCTTCCAGGATGCTTTGTGGTATGCAACTAACAGCTGTTGTGAGTAGCATTGTTTTTATGCTTACTGTTTTTGTTTCATGTCACACTTTTTTTTCTTTCCTCTCCTTTGCTGTTGGCTTCACTTCTGGCTCCATCAGAGAGAGCTGCAGGTCTTTGCTGCCGCTTAGTAGTCCCCTGTCATAAAGGAATGCCAAGGCTTACTGATCTGTCTGTCAAAACCAAAGATGTCTGGGAAATTCCACGAGAATCCCTACAGTTGATCAAGAGACTGGGAAATGGGCAGTTTGGGGAAGTATGGATGGGTATGGAGCAAAATAATTATTCTAAAATAGCTCTCTGTGTGGGGATTACAAGATGGAAGGTGAAAACGTAGGACACTGTGACCAACAAGAAAAAAAAGAACAAAGCTCAAACTGTTAGGAAAAATGTCTTTGGAATCATGTCTTTGACTTTGAAATTCTTTAATCTTCAACTTCCACTGTAATTGATGGCAAAAGGAAACTGAAATTCCGTGTTTCCTTGGAAGGTTTCGATTTTGACAAATTACCACTGTCTTAATAATAAATCAAGGCTCGCATAGTAATCTATTAATTATACCAAGGAGCCTTTTTCTGCAAGCTAACAAAAAAGTCCTTACCTTCAGTATCCAAAAATCAGTGTTTGCAAGTGAACTTTAATGCAGCACTGAGAGACAAGTCACCTTCCATCTTTCTCAATGCATGCCTAATTTTGGATTATAAGTGTGTTTTTTTTATTAATTTCCTCTCCTATAGAGAAAGCTGATGGTTTGTGTTTTAACTTAACTGTGATTGCTACGAATAATACCCCACAAACTGTTGGATTGGCTAAAGATGCATGGGAAGTTGCACGTGATTCATTATTTCTGGAACAGAAGCTTGGTCAGGGGTGTTTCGCTGAAGTGTGGCGTGGTAAGGCAGAGAATATATTTTGCTTTGGATGGATCTTTTAAGGCCCTCTTGGCAGAAATAAACATTTCAAGTAAAGATCGTAAAGCTAAAAGATCAGAATAGTATGAAATGTCTATATTGCCTAAAACAGTCAGACCTAAATACAGTAATCCACAGGGAAACTTCCTCTCACTTGCACACACTGGTATGAGAGGTTAGGGCATTAAACTTCGTTAATTGCATTGGGTTTATTTGGGTGACTACACAATTGCTAGGCATTAAAAAAGGAATGATGCTAAACTTGTAAGGCAGAATGGCTAACCAGAAATTAATCTGGTAAGTAGACATTTTTCTTTCCTTGTGTGTTTTGGCACTGATGGGGTCAGGCCCTGAAAATGCTTCCATCCACTCTCCCAGTTTAAAAATAATGGCAGGTATCAGCAAGCTAATATTGGCAAGCTAGCTTTCCCATGCATCCACTTCAAGTCTGTTTTGAAATTTGTATCTGCAGCAGAACCCTGTAACTTGATATAGAGACCAGGGACACTAGAGGCAAGACTTGCCCAGCCCAGCTAAACCCCCACTTTGAAGTCCAGAAACATTGGCATTTTCCAAATCCACTGACATTGTTTTCTGCATATTTGCCAGCTTTACTTACTACTCCCCTCTCTATGGGCCTCATTCTTTCAGTGACTATAAAACAATACCAATTTAAAATTACATAAATCTTAGTATAGCCATAGCATTGAAACACAATATAGTGGCTATTTCATGAGAGATGGGCTCAATTTTTGTGCCAAATTGTATTCTGTGTAGCCTCTTTAAAATGACCAATTCAAATAAAGAATCTCTATATATTGTTTCTTAAGAAAAATTTGGCGGAGCAGTTTGGCCGCTCTTTTTGTTGCAGTGACACAAAAGTATGTACAACCAAAATAACCAGTGGGCTCTCCTGGGTTCTTGCAGCTGTTTTCCATTGCAAGACTACAGCAAGGAGCATGGCAGCAAGTCTGTGAAATTTATAAAATTTATAGACTAGAAATATAGAAATTTATAGAATTTTACAGCATTACAGTTGACCTGTTGCAAAGCAAGCTACCTGTGTTTTCTATTAGCATCCCCAGATAACTGCAGTTTTACCTTCTTGTTCTCCATCTTGAATGCATGCAAGAGTTTCAAGTTGACGTTAATATCTGGTGGTCAGCGTTGTGTGCCGTAGGTCTTAAACTGATTACAAGAAGCAAAGGAGGAAATGCAATTAAAAAAAAAAAAAAGACAGCTATGACAAATAAGGTGCCAAGTACCAGTACCAAATATCTGTCAGAAATCCAAAAATTATTATTACAATTATGACATTATGTTTCTTAATGTATAGTAAAAATATGTTAACAGCCCTGAAGCATTACCAGATTGGAATAGATTAACACACTAGAAATTAACAAAAAATGCATTAAGTAGTAACTAACTGCATATGGGAGGAATTCAGAGGGAAGTCTATGCTAATTTTCTATTAGAGAGAAATATACCAAACCACAAGAAGAAAATTTAACAATTTAAACCGAAATCTGGGCTGAGAGAATAAGTTAACCTTTTTGTTTGATTTTTTTCTTTTTTTAACTGGATAAATTCATGAAAGTATTTAAAAATAGAACTGCTGAAAACACTTCATGGTAATAGAATGAGTCCTGGGATTTTTATTAAGGCAATGCAAACAGATAATACACAGTTAATCCTGTTAACACACCAGGTAAAATCCTAGTTTATTCATGGCAGTGACAGAAGCCCTGGTGCCCGTGAAAATAGGGTTTCGGTCCTGGTTCATATAATTTGCAGTACCTCTGCAAAATGGCTGCGACTGATGGCACTCTGCGGTCCGGAGCCTCCGTGGCTCCAGGTAAAACACAGTCCCTTTCACGCATCAGAAAAGATTTTGGCCACCCTGCTTGAAATTAGAAGGCAAAACCACATCCTTCCCAGCTTACACAGGAGTGCCACTAAAGCAAAGTCCTGCTTCAGCTCTGATTTGAAGGACTGAGTGAAACTAAGACCTCAAGAGTCCCCCTCAAGCGTGCTGGGGTAGCAGTGGTAGTAACTCGAGATATTACTCCACCACCACCACGGGAGAGGTGACAGCACCTGGGACTGAGCTGGCAGAAGAAAATCGAGGCATAGTGAAAACCGAACTTGCACTGCACACTTTTGGCTAATATGTGTCCCAAGCGCCCCTCAGACAGCGCCGTGCGTTGCTGCAGGGATTGCCCGGTAAGTGAGGGATTTCACGGGCAGTGGCTCCCCCGCCACTCCTCCCCTGCCCTCAGCAAGGCGAGGTGGCAGCTGGGACCTGACCACTTGCACAAAAAACAATCCGGCTCATTTTACGCTCTGGCAGGTTGCAAAAGCTCATGCTGAAGTTATCTTGCCTTAACCAGTTCCCATGTAGCAGCTGAGCCCTGGTAACTGTTAATGTGCTTTTAACAAAGACGAACCAGGCTTATTCTACACGTTACCTTTTTGGATGACAATTTCTAGAAACTAGATCTGAGTCTGAGTCTTCATATACTTTGTGGGCCTTCTGCCATCCTCATGCTTAAGTGCAGAGGAGTAATTTTTACCCAATGTGATTAATTCCTGAAGTCATTTAGTATTGTTCTGCCTTATCACACAGCAGCTCCCTATCAACAGATCACAGGTCTCATTCAAAACCACTTCAGCCCTGGCTCTGGAGCAGGGTTCTGGCAAATCTGGGCAAGGGTCAACCAGAAGGCACTAGGAAAGTGATGTTTCTGTTCATTTTCATTTTCCTTCTTTTCCCTTCCCGAGTCCCCCATCTCCAAAAAAACCTGTGAACATAGGTAGGTGTTTTGGGGTTTTTTTTTCTTTCCAGTCCTCCTTCTCCCCCTTGCAAATACCCAAGTGAAGCCCCACCTCTTGTGGGACACCCTGAGTCAGCCTTTCCCAGCTCTGTCCAGGTCCTTGTGCAGGCTTGGTAGGTGATGGCTGAAAAATGATGCAACATGTCCATCTCAGTGCTGACCGCAAGTAAAGAACAAAGTGAACTGGACAGGAACCACCTCGTTTTCAATCAGCAGCTGCTGGGCTTCTGGGGATGAGGAGCGGAACAAAGAAGACACATTTCAGTTTGGAAACACGCCTGTGTTTCCAAAATGAAGTCAATTCAGAATTTGTTCCTTGAGAATTTGTCTTAGAATATGTTTTTTCCTCTGACTCAGAACAAAAACAAGATGTTAAAATGTCTTGCAAATGGAAAGTTCTGGGTTTAACCAGTTTTGTTATCCAAATCTGTGACTGGAGCTGTTTTGTTGTCTGTAGCAATTGTTAGCAAGGCAATACATCAAGATGGGTTTCAGCAGTCCCACGTTTCTTACTCAGAGAAGGTTTCTGTGGACATCAGTGGAAGCATTGTCTGAACAGGACAATGGCGATTGTGCCCCAGTGCCAATGGGAGTATTATTTTTCAGTATAATAGAAAAAGACTAAAATATGAGGGAGGCATGGGAGGAATATAATGATAAGGCAACATGGGAAACCACACTTTAAAAATATAATTATATTAAGTGTCGTTGCTAGTTTATTCCTTGGTTACATTAGGCATCAGGCAGAAGAAGGAGCAGAAGATGGTTAATCTAACTAAGTATCTGTGCTTGTAGGTACATGGAACGGAAATACTAAAGTGGCTATCAAGACCCTGAAGCCTGGCACTATGTCTCCAGAATCCTTCTTAGAGGAAGCCCAAATCATGAAGAAGCTAAAACATGACAAATTGGTTCAGCTTTATGCTGTGGTATCTGAAGAACCTATCTATATTGTCACGGAGTACATGAGCAAAGGTGAAGCCAGAGCTGCTGCCCTTGATAACAATATTTTTATTTTGTTGACGCTCCTTGGGGATACAGAGGGAGGTGCAGCGTGATGCATGAACAGCATGTGAGGAAGGAAAGAGGGAACAGGAAGCTAAATTTGCCTCTGGCTTCAGAAGAATTATGAATTTAACTCTGAACTGGGTCCAAAACCTGAAATCCACCACATGTACAAAGAAAATTTGCACTAGATGGGGGACGGAGAAGTTGGTGCAGCTTAAGTGCTTCCAACTGCATCAGCATCTAAACTTCCCTGACAAGTGGAGATTTGTGTTTTCTAGGTTTGAATGATATTACATGCTGCTTCTCAAAATCCTAGCTTTTCCTGGCACCAGAGTTTATATGGCATCTTCTTTTAGTGTTTACTTGTCAACCCAAGATTTCTATTTCTTCCTTTAGCAATCCTGAGTTCTGTCACATGCACCTCGCTCTCAGATCACAGCTTAATTTTCAGTCCACCCCATTTATCATTTTAATACATGATTTGCACATATGATTCTTCTCCCTTCTCTTTTTCTTTAAACTACTTAACTGGTAACAATGTAGTAAAATGAGAAAAGGAAAACCTTTTGCTCCATCAGATCTCCAGCAGGGGTGCTGAGAGCAGAGCAAAAAATCTGCTTGTTTTGGAAAAGCTAATGAACCAAATAGGAAACGTAAGTTCTCACAGGGAAGTTTCATTGTACATTGGAGGATACACTCTGAAATTTTAAGTGCATTTTTTCAGTCTATTTGGAGTTGATTTTTATTTTCCTGGCAGGTGCCTGCCCACCTCCGTCCTCAGAGGCATCCAAGCCCTGACTAACCCATACTTTAATCATATGTCTCAGTGACAAGCATGTGCTTTTCCCCCTTTAAAAAAAAGACTTCTGAAAATCATTCTGAAGTACGTGGTTTATTTTGGCTTACTTTACTAGTTTTTACTGTAACTTTTTACATCTTTGGATCTGAGCTTGAGGCTGACTATCAAGGGAGAAACGCCTAATCATCTGTCTTTTCCCCTTATTTATTAAACCAATACAGTGACCTTATTTAAAGGAGACTGCCACACTTCTCTGTTTGAATACAAGACTGGGAAGGGAGCTATAGCATCCTAGGCGGTTTTAAAAGCTACAGGGAACCTCCTTGCTTTCCCTTGCACAGGGAAGCTATGTCCTTATTGCTTTTGCTAAAATTGCTTTCATTTGATCTCTGCTTTGTCTTCTCTAGTTTTGCATAGTGGTCTTCTAAGATTAATGGCTCAGGCTACATTTAGTTATGGGTTACCTAGAGAAGGAGCACTACTAATTTTGAAGGAAAATTAGCCTTTGTTAATGTGAGCCCCTTCGGGCTTACCAGGCTGCAGGCTGACCTTTCTTTTGGAGCAGGTTGAGCTGGGATCTGACTTTTTCCATAGCTTGTGTGGCTTGGAACCAAGCTGATGCTTTGCAGCTAGCTGAGGCCTTTAGAGAGCAGCAGGTATGTAGTTTCAGAGAGCACTGGAAAAGTTAAGAAAGATCAGCTTTCTCAGTAATGGTCAGGAAAATGAAAAACAGTGTTGTTTCTTTTCCCTGCAACTCTCCTTGGACTAGTGTCATATTCTTCTGCAAGCCAACCTTAAAGAAGAATGAAACAAGTATAATAGGAGAATTCTAAGATATTGTGGGTTTTTTGGAAACTGTCCACTTGAACTTGAAACATTGCTGTCTAATATTGCACATATTGCTGCACCTCCATCCTGATGAATAGCCATTGTTTCCCTAACATCTCTCTATTGTGTCAACTTTGCATTTGCAGGGAGTTTGCTAGATTTCTTAAAAGATGGAGAAGGAAGAGCTTTGAAGTTACCGAATTTGGTGGACATGGCAGCCCAGGTCTGTCTTCAGAGTATTTAGCATTTAGGTGTATATGTTTCATAGCCCATGTATGAGTTTATTTTAAAATGCGCTGATTGTGTTTCATGCTTCTCGCAGGTGGCCGCAGGAATGGCGTACATCGAGCGAATGAATTACATACACAGAGATCTGCGGTCTGCAAACATTCTGGTGGGGAATGGCCTAATATGCAAGATTGCCGACTTTGGATTGGCAAGACTGATTGAAGACAACGAATATACAGCCAGACAAGGTAGATACAGCGGCAATCACAGCACTGAATATCATTCTTGTGACAAGGGAAGAGTGGAATATGGCTTTAAAAAGCTCACTGTCATATGCTTTGGGGTTGCTTTCAGTAAATCCTGAACTCATATTATCTCCTAGCCCAGAACTTCACTGCTGAATGCATGTCCTAAAGAGAATGTCTTATTTAGTTGTCTTCCCTTTAAAAACTGACCAAAATGAAACAAAGGTGATGAGTGAGAGCACAGCGGGCTGAAGTGACAGTAAAGACAAGACCCTCATGGTGCCATAACAAAGGGGGTACTTTACTTACCAGCATTGAAAACCTGAATGGGGTAATCCAGAAAAGCCTATGTAAACTATTTCTTTTGTAGTGTGCCTTCTAATATTTACTAGCCTCTGTCAACATTGCTGTGCTATTCCTATTTTCTTTGTTTCAAACAGGTCAAAGAATTGTGTCTCTATGCAATGGATGCAATGGAGCTGTCTCTCTGAACACTATGTTTTTTGGGGGAACTTAAAAAGTTACTTTAACAGGAAAGCTGTTTTCCAGTGCCACACAGAGTGCTGGGCACAGCCGACCACTGATACACTATAAAAATGTATCAAAGAGTATTGTAGCTTTTTTTAAAAAGCATGTGTGTGTTCAGACTGAGTCATGACACAGGGCCTTTGTACTTAGTCATTCTTTACAAGTCATGCTTAGTTGTCAGATGTTGGTCCAAGTTTGCAGAGCTACAGTTTTGTTCTCTTTCTGTTGGCAGTACATTGGTAGTGCTTGCTCAATATGTGTCGGTAAATGCCACTCCATCCACTTCAGTGCCAAAGCCAAGGGGTGTCCCGTTAAACCCTGTTGTATGTCATCAGAAAGCACAGGTTGGATACGTACTTCATAACCTGCATTTAACCCTTCCTGTTGTCAGTTTTTTCTCTGGACCAGACGTCCCTGTTTCAGCATGGGTTTTGCCATTAATTCTTAGGAAAGAGCTAACCTCTTTCTGTAACTTTCAAGTGTTGACAGAAGGAGCAAGAGAGTTTCCAGCATGTCTGGTCTTGGCCTGGGAGCAGCAGCTCTCATGCCGTTCACACCCCTCTGAACTGCTGTCAGCAGTACCTAGTCGCAGGGCTGTGAACCACAGGCTGTGTCCACCCTAAAAGTTGCCTGCTTCACATTGGACGGTGAGGCCTGATTATTTTGGGGGGACCTTTGAAGAACCCGTGGTAGGTACTAATGCAGAGAGTTAACGCTATTGATTTCAGCCTGAGGGTGGGAATTGCTCCTGCTAGAAAAAATGGCCTCATGTTGTTCTCTCCAGAGTAACAAGAGTGTCTGCAGGCTCTGGTAGACAGAAAGCTGTCTGGTTGCCCTTCCCCTGTGTAAAATGAGAAGAGTTTTCCTTGAACAAGGCAGCCAGATCCAGTCTGCAAAATGGCTTTGAAACAGTGTCCTATATTATCTCCGTTTCTGTCTGGTTTACTGCCATGTCTTTTGTTCCCTTTGGAAATCACCCAACGTACAGTTTGACATGACTAATTATTTGTTTTAATAGACAAGTATGCGACCTACTTCTGGCCAGTTCTCTTCGGGCTCCTGATCCCTAGGAAATCCTCTGATGACCTGTTTGCTTCCTGATTTAAATCTCTCAGAATAGTTTTGCCCTCTTCACATGTTAGAAAGCCGTGAAAACCTGCCTGACTGATGTTGAGGTTAGGTTTTTTTAAGACAATAAAAATGATTGGATTTTGGGTGGGAAAACTTTGAGCTGAGAAAAACATAACGCTGGGACTGGCAGGGAGAGGGAGCGTAGTCGTGGGTATCTCCTGCCCTTCTTCCACGGCAGAAGTCACTTGTATTGTGGAAAAAATGGTTGGGAAGTGAGAAGTAGTTTGGCTTTTAACCTGCATCACTGATGATCAGGAGATCTGAATCGTATGTGCCTAGCTTCATCTCATGGTGCAAGTATGGAGAAGTCGCCCATCCTTCCCATACTTCAGGCCAACAGACCATACTTCCTTCCCCTGACCTCAGGGTCAGGCTTAAGTCCTTCAGAGCTACAGCATTCCTTAAAAGAGAGACCCAAATTGCTGTAATCACAGGCATCCTGTAGAAAGGTTTTCCTACTTTCGCTAATGTTTTTTTGACCCTTTCTTAAATGGCAGCTTGTTCTAGGGAGGGGTGCATTTTTGACCAAGCAGCACACTCAATTTACATTTCATTTTAATTAACCTGGCTTCCAAGCCAGTTGAGCAGCCAGGGTGAGCCTAGGACCTTTAATTTATTGAGGAAGAAACATGGTTTCTAATAGGCCACTGGAATTTTTCTTCAAGTGGGATTCAGTCCTGCGTTGTTTAGTTAAACTTCAGATTTGAGCATTGCTTGGTGGAGACCACAGTATCAGAAGGAAATGGTTGCCTCTGCTTGTTTCCCATGACCTATTACTTCAGCCTCCAAGGGGATGCATCTGGGGACTGCTCTGTTTATCTAGCTGGCTACTGCTTCAGTGGGAATTTTGACACAGGAGGAGAGCCTGGCCAGGAGAGGGGAGGGGGATGGGGAGCGCTCCAGACTGGCAGCTCCTGTGGGAGAAAGGAAATGTTTTGTATTATGAAATCTGAAGATTAAAGCCTTTGGTCACTCTCTCCTCAGCAGTCATCCTTCTCTTGGCTTAAGTGTGTTAGTACAGAGCTCATTGTCGGCGTGGGGCAGAGGTGGTTTTCTCCAGCCTTGCTTGATCTCCTGCTCCCTTCCCCCACTGTCACTTTTGTCTCCGATTAAATATTTTGAAAGGAAACAGATGGGGATGCTTTGAGCCCCAGCGGGCTAGAGTGCAGGATTCCTGAACCTGTATGGGTATTACTCAGCCCGGTGGTAACGTTTTACTGACCGGTTTATTTTCTTTTTGATTTGAACAAAGGAGGCCTGACTGCTCCTGATTTATGAGAGGTAAATAAAAAGCAGTTCGTTGTCTGCACTGCCATTTCTCAGCAATCATCAGGAAGGAAAGAGATGGTCACGCCACTAATGATTTAAAGTGTGTGACTAGCAGCTATACACTGCCATTAAATAATACAAAAAAAAGTTCTTGGCTTGTAATGAGCATTTGGCTCCTCTTGCTTTTAGAGGAAGTGAGTAATCAAAGGGGAAAAACATGCCTATTAAAGTGACGCCCATTTTAAAGGCTGTGCTGGTGGACTGTGTTGCAGCCTGCACCATCAGGGCTTGCTTCTTCTGGCTGTTGCTGTCGCAACATCTTCCCCCACACACAGCGTCAGGCATTCAGTCTTGTTTCCTTCCATCGGTGATGATGCTTGTGTCAGTCCTGTAAGGCAAGCCTTAAAACCTCCTACAGGACAGAGAGAAACTTCCCATCATCTCCAACACAGGATTTCCCTTGCAGTTCTGCTACCCTTACACTGATCTGGTTCACAGCTACGTGGAGTTTTGGCCAAGCACATGGCATTTTTGTGGAGAGTGCCGAGTGCTTCACAAGTTGCTGGGGAAGAGTTGTTACTATTCTAAGCAGTAGCAGCTGATACAAATTTAAAATTGCCTTAATAAAAAAAGAGCACAGCTATTTTCCAGGCCTTGTTTCTACTGCATACACTGGCAGCACTTGCAGCAATGCTGCTCCAAGCACACATGAAACAATAAGGATCTTTCTGATGCCTTCCAGACAAGTCAGAGCTATTTTGGGAGCTCTAGTACGTGTTTGTAAACTCTCAGATCATTTTTGCCTCCTTAACACTTAGAAATATCTCCTTCCTGCCCTGCTTAAAAACAAGTGATGCTTCTTATTTTCATTTCCTAGAAATGAGTAGGGTTTTTTTTCCCCTTCCAGGCTCTCCCCAGTCCTTTTGTAGAGACTTGGCTCCCAGCTCACCAGCTAATCAGATCTCTCTTGTTTGCGACTGACTGTACCGCGGGCTGCAACGTCCAGGGCTTTGTTCTTGCTCTGTTCCTGCCGTTCCCCAGGCGAGCCGTGGAGTGGATAGGAGGAAGGACTCTTGCTTCTCAACAGCCAGCCCCCAGGGTCCCAGAAGGGGATCGCTCATAACGCTCCCACAGAGATGCCATCTGCTGTGTGAGAAGGAGCGTGGCCAGGTCAAGAGGAAGGGCGAGGGGAAGGGGGGCGTGCAGGCAGAGGGCGAGAGGGGTGTTTAGACGCACAGTTCCGCCCCTTGTCCCCCACTTCCCGGGGAGGGGTCAGCCCACAGACCCTGCTTCTGATCACTGATGTTTTGCCAGGCTTGTAATTTCATGTTCGTTCTCACAGCACAAAAAATGTAATTGCGCAGTCCCTCCCACACGGCACTCCTCATCATCTACCAGGGCTGACTCGTTTCCTGTTACATGCTTGCTTCAGCACTTCATTTTTACCTTTGTAGCTTTCCCTTTCCAGCTCCAGGAGCAATTCGCTGCTGCACTATGTTCTCTGGTCACTAACCCAAGAGTTCCTGTGGTTCTTGGGTCTTAGAGTGTGGGGTGCTGCATTGGGTTTGGTTTTAAGGTACCAGAGGTAGCAGCTTTGTAGCATTTCCAGAAACAGGATCATTATCAAGCTGGCAGTGGCTCTGGGGCATGAATTTCAGAAGTTTCTGCTTCATTGAGATTTAGATCTGAAAAAACAAAGCTCTGAGGGATTTTTGCTTGCCTCAGAAGAAAGCATGCTGAGAGTTGTACATCAAGGTCACTCAATTATCCCAGCCCCCTCCGCTCCTTCTCGTCACGTGACGTGCTTATAGCAGACGATGAATTAAAGCAGGGCCATGGACTGATTCTTCCCAAGGAAATCCTCCTGGGAGATAACCTGTGTGAATGCCTGGGCAGAGTCGGGCAGAGGTCCCAAGAACAGGGCTGAGCCTCACAAAAATCCTCAGAGGTAGGAGGCAGAGCTGGCTGCCCTAATGGTAAACTGTGCAAGCAGCTTTGGCTTGATGTGGTTGCAAGCAGTGCAGAAACCCAAAAAAGGCTTTCCCCAGGCTGAAATGTTTCAAAAAAGGGACAGAGATAAAAGCCGCAGACTAGTACCTCACTTTGGGACAAAGACAGGCTATCCTGACCTCATGAATGCAGCGTGCTGTTGGTTTGTACCTGTGGAGTTACTCACCTGCTAGTTTCTAATAAAATGGGTTCCAGCAAAAAAAGAGAAATCATCCCCACTGATGTAAAATCTGCCTTCAAAGTAGGAGATAGGCTGCCTTGTCAGCTGGGGTAATTTGGCTTATCAAATTTATTAACATGCTTGTCAGTAATACACATTTTATCTGATGATCTGATGCTGTAATTTGTTTGTAGCACAAAGTCAGCTTGTTTAATAAGCTGCTGAGGCCTGGGCAGAGGGAGGGGGTGGGTTTTTTAAGCGGTGTGTTGGGAACAGAGTAAGCACGGAGGTCAGGAGCCACGCATAGCGTCTGGCCTGTGCAAACGCCTCAAACAGCAGTAGCAATCAGGAGGCTTCAGAGCGGTGCTCAACACATTTGGGGATTTTTGTGTTTTCACAGAAGTGCACTGCCTGTGTCTCCATTGCCAGACATTTGATGGGAGGCAGCACCTTGGGGGGATCCCTGTTAGACACACACGTACACCCCCATTCACACAAGCTGCGTGTGAGTGTGTTGTGGCAGTGCATGCGTTGTACCTGCAGCTGTGCAGGTGGCCAGCCTGGAACGTCCTCACTGGTCTCTGCTCTCCCCTTACTGATAGCTCTGCCATACTGGGTTGCAGGCTCTCTTGGACCATCTAGCCTCCAGCATGCGTTGCAGGGCCAGAAAACCATGAGGCAGGGCTCTGCTAGCCACCTCTCTGCCAACCTTGCCTTTCCCTCCTCCCTATCTATCACTTCAAACCAAAGTTCAGGAAATACTGCACAAAATGCAGAACATGTGATTTTTGTATTAGTTGTTTTAGCCAGAGAATCACCCACTGCAGGGGCAACATAGAAATGTAGTGAGTAGCTATCCTGTCATCAGAAAAAACACAGCACAGACCATTTGTCTTCTCCAGCAGCGCTCATCACAGTCCAATGGGGTTTGTACTGCTCTAGCTCTCAGGAAAAGGGATGCATTGGAATTATCCCCCCTTCTCACCTACTTACCTTGCTTCTCATCTTCCCATGGTCCCTTGACACACCACATATTCATCTCCCAGTGCCATACTGGTAGTAGATGAGGAAGGCAAAAATACCGGGAGCTGGCCACAGAGGACTCTGGAGAGATGTCTTTCCTCCAAAGACGAGTTATAGATGGTTGCTACCTTTGGATCTGAGTACAAAGCACAAGGGAATTAGAGCAGGTTTGGCTCAGCTTCTCAGAAAAACGCAGCTGATTAAAGAAAAAGAAAAAATATGTTAAATAAAATGTGTGCAACACATGAACGAGCAAACCTTCATGCTTGGCTGTCTCACACACCACCAGCCAACGTCCAAGCCTTCAAGCTGCTGGCCAGCCTGGAGCTATTTGTTCATCTGACAAGGTGGGTGTGTGTGTGTGTACTATCTCAGCTGCACCTATGAGCAGAAGGACATTAGCCTTCATATTCATGGCATGCCTGCCTAAGCCCATCTAAAGCCATGGACTGTAGGCCTAGGGAACCCAGCCACCAGATACACGCAGCTTGCAGTTTTTCCGAGGATCGGCAAGGGGTGTATAGCCCCAGGATCTGCCGGTGGCTGGGGGAGCCGGTTGCCAGCCCCACGTGGCTGCTGGTGCTGCTGAAGCAGGGCCAGCTTCCAGGACAGAGGTTCAAGTGGTGGCAGGCAGCTGCTGCAGAGATCTCGGACATCATGGCCAAGGCAGTTTTTAAGAGAAGATGAAGTTCTGTAAATTCTGAGTCTTGTAAACTAAGATTGGTCCTGTGAAGAAGTCTTAAGTTAGGGATATTGAGACTAAAGCTGAGCACCCAAATTTTCGCTCCTGCCTGCATATCAACTAATGAAAATACAGAAGAGGCAGACTTTTTTGAAAGTGAATAGACATTCAAAAATCCTCTGGCACCTTTGCAAATCTAACCACTGATGCTTAACTAGACTCAAGTTCCTGACTTCAGGCATTAAGGGATTTGAAACTTTGTCTTGCGTCTTTTAAATTTAGCAGGACTTACTTGAGCAACTGCAGTTTTCCCTAGAAAAACGTATTTGTTTCTGAGTAATAGTCTCTCTTAGGATCACTTATATAGAGAGCAGGAAAAATTTTAGCACATCTGACGTTTTACTAAGTAAGGAGATGAGAATTACCATGTTTACTTTGAGTCAAGTAAGATTGCGGCATATAGCAGAACATGCGGGGCATTGAGCCCTGGATATGATGGCAGAACAGCACCGGCAGGGAACTGTAAACAGTGCCATAACTTCACTCCCTGAGAGTGATTTGTCCACGTTGTTACACTTTCCACATTCCTCTTGAAAGCTAAGGGAACTTTAATGAGAGGGTGGTGAGAAGTCAAAGTCAGTCTGTTTCCAAATTCAAGAGTGTTTGTCACTAGGGATCAGCAATAAGCAACGCAACTCTTTTGCCTGTATGTTAATACAAGGCACCAGGGAAATGTCTGCATATTTTTTTGTACATACTACGAGTTAATTATTACCACCAGACTTTTCTTTAAAGTCATACTGAAAATATTTTCCCTAAGAAAACAGTAAATGATTGGAAAAGCAAATAAATCAGTGTTTAAAGGCTTGTTATCTTACCATCCTTACCACAACTGGCTCCTGCAAGCTCTGATGATGGATGAGCACATTAGAACTGCACGTATTTAAGGCACTACAGGCTTTTCAGTGCCAGGAGCTGAAAGTACACTGTCAAGTTATAAATCACAGGCCAAAGTTGTGCCTTGACATCATTGCACTCTAAGCAACTCAAATGGCAGTATTACTTTTAAGTCCTTGCATGTTTCTAATGAAATATTAGGTTTGGTTTTAATTGATGTTTTTACCATGTTTGTTTGTTTTGCATTTTGCTCAGCTTGAGCAGGGAAACTGGGAGGTACATTTCCAATAAATCTCACTTCTATTCATATGCGCTAACTGTGTTTGACTTGCAAATAGCACAGGGAAATGTAAATTTAAAACATTTTGGGAGAAAGAATTTCTATTATATTGGGCTTATTGTTTTTTAATTTTTTTTTTCTTTTATAACACTTCAAACATGAAGTAAAATGTCTCAGCCTTCTCTTGACATGTGGGACAAACCCACCCCTTCCCTGCTAAGTCTTTTCTTCTGCCCTACATGTTCCACCCGCCTGTCCTCTCTGACCGTACTCCATGGAGCTGTTTGTTAACACTCACCTGCAGCTCTGTCCACCTGCACGTGTTGCAGAACACAACAGTCACCTGCATACTGGTGCTTTGATTCTGCCTCTGTTCTGATTAAGACTCATTTATTCTTTCATTAGGTGCAAAGTTTCCCATTAAATGGACTGCACCAGAAGCGGCATTGTACGGAAGGTTCACAATAAAGTCGGATGTGTGGTCTTTCGGGATCCTACTGACAGAGCTGGTAACAAAAGGGAGAGTGCCATACCCAGGTAAGAAAGCAGTCTGAGCCCTGCTTCATCTGGGGAAAGGAGTGGGAATGAGCCATATGCTTAAACTGGAATGTTTATTTATTTTCACTGGGCTCAAAGGAGGATGGTTATCATGCATAAGTTCTGTGTATGCTTGAAAACGGTCCTGACTCTGAAAGCTGCTGTGTGATGGTCAAGATAAAAATGACAAGAGGAGAGAAAATCCAACGTACTCCTTTCTAATTTTTTTTAACTGTTCTCAATTCAATTAATATGCTTTTAGACAAATAATGAAAGCAATGTAAAATTACTATACTGTGGAGCAAATAGCTCTCCATAGTATTGCATTCACTTTAAGATACCAACAGTTAAAATCCCAGAGTGCCATTACTGCATTTATTCTGTCAGTCTGGTTCTCTACAAGGTTTGATGACTGTCTGAATGTCTGGTATTACCAAATCTCTTTTTTATAAACTCTTACATTTCAATCCTTGCTTTTGAGATGGATGGAAGCGTAAGAAAATAATTCTGTAACGTGCAGGCCGGAGCTCATGGCAGGGTCACGGCGGGGGCAGATTCTCTGCATGGGGGAACCGGGGGCCCCATGGCTCTTTGTTGAAACCCTGCCAAGTATCCGATGGATTAAGATTTGTAGGAGGGGTGATTGGATCTGCCTATGCAGAAAGAGCTTTTCATTCTATTGTCCCCCTGAAGATTGTAGGCATTCAGGTGAAGAGGAAAGGGGTGAGGTGAAAGCAATGCATTACATGGAAAAGAATTTAATCCCTTCATTTTCTTATCAGCACAGATACTAACAACAGGGCATCTAGCTGCATCTTTATTCTTTTTATTAAAAAAACTTTTTTTTTTTTTAAATAATACTCACCGGTATGGCTGCGTGCACTGCAGCTGATTTAATGGAAAGTGCCCTAAAGCAGTTTCAATTTTCCAATCTGTGCCGTGATCAAGCAGTCAGATCTATATATCAGATTGTGCAGGAGAAACATCAAGGCGGAGTTCAGTTTATCCTGTGGTATCTCACACCACCTCAGAAGGCTGAACTCAGCAAAACTAAGCTCCCAGAGTCTGACCAGGAATTTCAACTTTGCTAGCACCTAGCAGCCAGTAGCTGATATTTGGGAAGAGAATATGGGGACTGGAAGGCTTCTCGTGATCAGCAGTGAATTTTGCCATGATTAACAGGGAGCAGCATAGCAAATGAGGTAGCGGAAAGCAACGTGACGTGTTTCTGTGGGATGGATGAGTCCCTCTGCCCAGCACTTCCCCATGCAGTTAAAGAAAAACGGGTGTTGCCACCACACGGAGTGACTGTGTCAGTAGCCGGCACAAAGGTCTTCTTGCCATGAGGATTACTGGCAGCAGCATGGGAGAGACGTGATTTCTGTGGGTTTACGAAGGTTAAATGCAGACATGGCACAGTGTGCAAAGGTCGAACACAGAAAGAAGATCTGTAAGGCTTAGCTGATACAGTGTTGCTCCCAGAGGGTGGGCAATGCTCCTCGCTGGGCTGCAGGAAGAGGAAATTCCTAGTCACTGCTGGCAGAGCAGGTGCACAGCGGCTCGCACCAGCCGGGGCAGAGTTAAGGTGAATGTTTTTCCCTGAGCTCCGCATTGGTGGGGCAGAGATGCTTAGTGACTAGCCTTCTCTCTTATCACGTGCACGAGCACAGATACACGCACACACACAGGAAAAATACTACTCCAGGCAAAAGTGACCATCTAAGCCCCCTGTTAACTCACAAGTTTGTAACTGAACACAGCGTGACCAAGGCAGCAGAGGACGTCTGCACTTCCCAAGTGTTCCTTTCCCTCCCTGAAGGAGAAGGAGGCCACTGGATGTGCATTTAAGTGCTTGCAATATATAACTTCTTGTAGGACCCATGACAGAAATCTGAGGCATGGTCTGTGTCCTGAAAATGTGGACAGTTTTATTATGTGGCAGTTTGAGCGCATCAAAGACAACTAACGGCGTCTCTCCTCTTTCAGCGCTGTCCTCCCCCTTCATCCCTCACTACATAAAGCCCTGACACACTGAAAGTCTTTCTGGCTCACTCTCCCCCACCCATGCTAGGAAAATATCAAGTAGCTGGAAGCACCTTTTTGTGTGTTTACATATGACAGAGTCAGCAATTTTCTGGATGGTCACGTACTGCCTCAGTTACGCACTGCCCAAGCTCTACACCAGGGCCCTTCCTCCCCACGAGGACTCCCACCCTGCTCAGCCAGGAGGTCTTAACCATTCTCATGGCCACCATCACTCCCCTCTCTGTCAGTTTTACCTAAGGGCAGCCTCTATTTTAAATTTGAATTTCCAAAGCCTTTAGAGACTTCAGTTTGGTCTCATTCCCCAGACCCTAACTGGGAAAGCTTTTATAGGCTGAGGCAATGGTGGAGGGGAACTGGGGCCTTCTCAGAAGGGTGTGTCTTTGCATGTGGGTTGAAAAGAGGGCTCGGACTTCCCAAGGTGACAGAGACCTCCTGAGCTCCTCAGAAAAGACTCGCTTTTCCCCTGACATAGAAAGGATCATCCATCTCCTGCTTCACGCCGGGGAGAGAAAGGGCCTCCTGGAAGGATAAAGCTTCATGAATTCAGGTCCCTGTCTAGGTCAGGGAGTAGGGTTCAGATGCACCCACAGGGCTTTTCCTGCCATCATGGCATGGCTTGTGCGAGGAGGAAAAGATGGGAGTTCAACCACCCTGAGAGGCAAGACTCAGCCCTCCTCACCCAAGTAGACAACCTATAGGTGAGAGAATGCAGTTTATAGGCACTGCCAACCACTTTGGCACCCAAGGCATGTGGATTTGCAAGCTCTGGGAAGGGTCAGCCTTGAAACAAAGAGGGTCATGGAGCTGTCACTCTGCTGTAACACCCAGTTTCTGAAATAGTTGTGGGCATGTTGTCCTGATGTTCCTGCTTACAGCTTGTAGCAGGCCAGGGGGGAGCAGGGAGAGGCCCTCAGACAAAGGGATTGCTCTCTTGCTTGACAAGATCTTAGTGCCTGAAGAGGTTATTTATAGCACGCACCCCAGTCCTGTGGTGGTAACCATGCCCGCAGGGCACTGTACCTCGTGCCTTGGAGAACCAGGCATTGTTTTAAGCTTGTGCAGAAGGAGGGAGAAGCACAACGACGAGGAGAGAAGGCGGCAGGCAATATATAGGAGGAGAAGAGACTGTGGGGAACAAGACTTGGCATTCATTGTGCCCCAGATTTGAAGCAGTTCCTGTCCTGATGCCCCATTGTGGAAGAGATGCTGCAGCAGTGGCAGGGCATGTGAGCACTAAAGATTTGCTGGCAGAGATGATGACCAGGCTAGAGTTCATAATCAAGCCTTGCCCCTGACCCTATAGTTCCCACAAGAAAGACTGACTTGTTGACAGGTGTCCTCATCTTTATCCTTCAACCAAACCTGTCTGTCTATCAATGGATGTAATGGACTGCTATGATAATTAATTTATTAGTGCTTTTCCTAGCCTTCCCTAATGCTTTCCCATTCTTTTAACAAGGCAGCAGATTGAAATAAGCAACTTTCACAGTCTTTCTGGGCATTTATTTCCACTATTACAGTGGGGAAATAAAAACTAGATATGGGCAGAAGAGGAGCCAAATTTAAAAAATAGTCTGCTTAGTTGACCTTTTTCAGTGTCTGTTTCTTTCCCCTTTCACAAACTCCCTTTGGATCTTAGTTTTGTGGGTTTTTAATGGTGTTTAAGAGTAGGAGGCTGCATTTCTCTCACAGTAGTCAGAGGGGTTTTAATGTGTTGCCTTTAGGATAGGCAAAAATCTCAGCTGCACTAAACAAGCACCTCTGAACTTGCCCCTTCTGCTTTCTGCTGCACTTGTCATATCAAGAGCATTTACATTTTACGTTTAGTGTGACAGCCACCACAGTGCTATCCACATTGCTGCCTCTGGCCAGGCAGGTCCTTAAGTTTGGGCTCCAAGCAGCTCTGCAGTCCCTGGAGAGTTGTGTTCAGCTTCCTCATCCCTGGGGGAAGCTGGGCCACAAGTGCCAGGGAGCAAGCGCATGGTACGCTGCCCAAGGCTGGGGCTGAGTACATGTCAGTGAGCTGGCATATGTGTGTGTGCCATCATCACGGATGGTAGATAAGGAGTTGTTGAGAGTTGAGAGAGACTCAGCACACAGCACAGATAAGGTCAGGTGGCTTGCTTTGTAAGCAGGAAAGCTCCACTCACAAATGCTGCGGCTCCAAGTTGCATCTCTTATACCAAGCAAATAACAACTTAATTTAAAAAATAAAAGCAAAACCAAAACAAACAAAAAAAACCCCAACAGATATTGATAGCCTAGCTTTGTGGGTGTTTTGAGGATGAGGAGTTGTTGGGGGTTTTCAGGCCTTAATTTCTAAATGAAGTGGCATGACTTCCAGATTTTTAAAACTTGTTACTACTTTTGCGCAGAAATAACTAGGTTCGTATTGCACTCAGTAAGAACAGCATTATGCTTCAAAGGTTGTCTTCCTCCAGTTTTCCTGTTCCCTTCAGGGCACTATCGTGCTTGCATATGGAATAATCTTGCCTAAGCCCCATATCCCATCCCTGTGCCCTCACCTCTGGCTTGGCTTTGGGAGTGTTCATGGAAATTTTCCTTCTAGATCAAACTGAACAAAAGCCAAAAATCAACCTGTCTCCATTGTACTTCTCTCTTTTGAGAGCATGCTCTGAGCGCCAAGGTGATGCAGCCCCTCTGGAGGACTACACGGTTTTACGGAGTAGGGCCAACATGTCCACGTCTGAGGAACCTTTGAACATGAGCAGAGGAACAGCTCTGGGTTCTTGGAGAATCTAAAATACAGCATTTCTGGGGATAGACAGCAGCTGAGCTGTTGTTTTAAGAGTCCTACTTTAAGCATTTCTGTCTGTATTAACTTTATCATTGGTCTGAAAGTATGCAGTGGGTCTTGAAGGAGCATAATTCTCAGTCCAACAGAAGAAAGCAAGAATAAAGTGGCTTAAAACCATCACTGTCCTCACTGGACTTCACATTGCCCAGAGTAATCTATATAGCTTATTAGCTTTGGATGCAGGGATGCTGCCTAGTTACAGTAATGTTTCCTGTCTTCTGGAAGAGCAGCATTGTCCAGATCTGTGCTATTTGCACATCTGCTGTGCTCCGTCTAATCAAGCTCCCCAGAGCACTCCAAGGCACTTTCCAGTGTTTTCTTTAGCCACAACTGGAAACTTTACATCCTCTTTTATGTCACAGTAACTCTTACTACTGCAGCTTTTCTAGGAAAAGTCAAGCAGCATTGCATTTCTGTCCCCAGTCAATATGGGCAGTAGATTTTTATTGTATTGAGCATTAAAGTAGCCATATCCTATGGTATCCTAAGATTATTGGAGGTTTCACTAATAAAGCTGGATGGTGGGAGGTTATTTCATTTTTGGTCTTCTCAGGGAATAAAAAGCTAATGGAAAAGCCATCTTTTGGAAATTGAATGTTTCCTTCTTGCTCCAAATGGTAATTCTAGAAACATCATGAGCACAAACTGATTTTTCAAGCAGGTGAAATAGCTGTAGTCTGCAGAAGAATATTGCTGAGTATTTTATTCCACAGATTTAAGGATTTTAGGATAAACTTTTAAGGGGTCTAGAAGCATACTGCAAGCAGAATTTCATTTATTATTTACTAAAAGAGTTGAAACTCTCGGGTAGTCATTAGGAGAGAGGAGCTGTACAGACTGCTCAAATATTCTGTCTGTGGTGTTAGAAGTGCAGGTACAACAGGCTCCTGCTATCAAAAGAGAAACACTAAAACCTGTAGGATAACATAAGCAAATCTAGATAATAGGTTTGTAAACATAACTAGGCCTTTTAAGAGGTAAAAAGTATACCTGAAACACTGCTATTTTTATGAGTCCGACTAATAATCCAGTCAATTTTGAAAAACATTTGGTTTAAACTCCTTTTTTAAATTAGCAGCACATGTCAAAACCAACATAATTTCTTTGGCAAATCCTAGGTGCTGCAGGCCTTGCTGGATGTGTGAATTCCAGTACGGAACATGAGGATTACTGGGTTTAGTTTCGTATCTGGGTTTTACTGGGAGGGAGGGGAAAGGAGAAAGGAAAAGAAGGGCATTTTCCTGGATTCTATTGTCATGAGAAAACCTGGCTTGACTGACTTTCCAGGGACAAAAAATGACTATGAGTTCAGACAGCAATGTCTCTTTTATGTTCTTTTTTCTATCTTTTTATTTTAAAAAAGGGAAATGAAGAGCTGTTTATGTTTTTCCTCCCCCCTCTCTCTCCTCAGGGTTTTTCTTCCAGCATACAGTTCGTTATCAAGTTTCAGAGTGTGCTTTGCAGCACTGAGTAATGCACTGGATAAAAATACCAAACATTTGATATCTTAGAATAACAAATCAGTTGGGAAGGAGCTTTTGTGCTGCTGTTGCTTCCACCCATGTTGTACTTAAAGGGGTACTGCCAAAATAAAAACAAAGAATGAAGTTTGCTTGTGGTTTAGGTATATACAACAGATGAGTTACTGGTAACACTTATTTTCATAGCCTTTAATATGTAAGGGAAACAAAGCACAGCAGAAGTTCTTACCCCAAAACATGAGGTAATTCAGCTGATCCAAAGACAAGGATATGAAAAAAGGGTGCAGATTTTTGTTCAAAAGACAAATTAAACAAACTAATATTGAGAACACAATGTGAGAAAAATGCCCACTTTTTTTTCTTGTAGCTTCCTGAAAACAGCAAGGCCAGAAGGTTTGGGTTGATGCTGCCTTTGGGTTGGTGATGACTAACAGACCATAAGCGTTGTTTTGTAATTTCATAAAAAGTAAAATATGTTTAAAAATGTTCTTGTTGGATAATGAGGAACACCCAAAGATTTTTCAGTGTGTGCCAAGCTCTTCTGGTTTGTTGTGAGCCCGTGTGACCTAACAGTTTGGAGTCAATAATACAGGAGAACCTTAACTCTGTGCAGATTCCGATATCTGCAGGGGACCCTTATTACTCTATTGTCATCATTCTGTGGAGTCCTAACCATGGACCACTTTAGGTGCCATACAAAGTGTTTGCTCCTGCTCATAAACATCTAACACCAAAAATACAGTGGGTGGATGCAGGTGATAAATCAAACACAAGAAACCAGTGCTAAAGTGTTGGTCTGCAGGTTAGGAAATACTGTAAATCAGTAATCTAACCTTTCTTTTTGCAGTTATCGCTGCTACAGGGAGAGGTTTGTAGGAGGATGAGGCAGTTTTCTGGGGAGGTTCCTCCGTGAGCAACAGGCAGCATAAGAAACAGCACATCAGTGCTTGTTTGAAAATCGAAGGTGCTGCAGTAAGCTAACCAGAACTGTGAATGAACCAGGACATGGCGAAATGACAACCTAAATGCCAGTGGGGCAGCCTGTGAGAGGCTTTGAAAGCGAAGACAAGCAGCTGGTATTTTACATAGTAAGCAACATGGAGCAAGTGGCAAGACCATGCAAGAGGTGGTTACAGACTAGGAAAATGATCCTTGCAGAGACACTGCAAATGGATATCAGCAGGAGAAAATTACCTGTCAAGATAAGAGGAAAAGGTGTTTTGTAATCCTAACATGAGATGAGAATCTAGATGTGGATGGTCAGGAAAGGATGTACTTTGCAGATGCTTCTTTCAAAACATCTTTAAGAATTAAACACAGCCAGGATGTGAGGACACAGAGTAAAGACCAAATCCAAGGATACAGCTAAGTTACCAGCCTAAATGCTATGCAGTGTAAGGATATTATTCCCACTAGTCAAGGTGTAGAGTACACAAATGACTCTGTATTGAAGAAGGTGGTTGAATTATTTCTCACGAATAAGTTTACCAAAAATACAAGGTAGAGACAATCCTCTGGGCCCTGAAGGTGGGACAAGAAAATTCTTCAAGAGGACACCCTGAAAGAACAGAGTGGAGGAGACCCAGGGAAGGGTGGTGTCATGGAAGCCAGGGGGAGGATAAGCTAACAGAAAGAGCAACAGCAAGGTGCTGGTTTCTAGATTTGGTCCTGGAGGAACTTAAGGGTCCCTACCAGTTCTCCTGCAGAGCTGCTTGGCAGGACCCACTAAGTCAGGGGAGTGAAGCCTGCAGGTATTTTTCAGCAGAGGACTGGGGCAGAGCTTGCCAACTGGCAAGCCACAAAGCTTGCAGTCAGGGTGCACGCTTTCTCTGAGATCTCTGCATGCCTGTGGCGCCAGTCTTACCTTTGGTATTGTTAAAAAGCCAAAGAAATTACTGGAAGAGATATTTAAACTAAAGCTGAGGTTGACTGCAATGAATGTATGGTGAAAAGCACTTCAGCAGAGCAATCGAGGGTTGAAGGGGTTGCATGGAAAAGACAAGGTAGCAAAGGGCCTGGCTTGCCTCTGAGAGACAAGCATGATGGTAATACAACTTTTTACCTTTTTTGAGAGCGCGCTATAGTTCTGCAGTGGAGCTGTTTTGCTTGGCGTTTGACTTGTCTTCTGAGCAACTTTGTTCTCTTCTGGGTTGGGATGGAACAGTGGAATGTGGTAGAAACTATACCAACCAGCACAGATGGAGGGAGTGCAGATCGGCAGCAGCAGTAAGCTTCTGAACTGGCGCTGAAGGTAATGCTGCTGGACATCCCTGGTAGCCCAGAGTAGCAGAGTTTGTCTTGAAGTCTCTGCAGCTCTCCCAGAGCACTTCAAGAAAGGCCCACGCTCAGTATGAGGGTTTCAAGAATTCATCTTAATTTCTAGAATTTTGAATAGTATTTGTTGTGATGCATCTATTTTCCTTAACCACTTCACGTAATACATTTCACGGCTACTCTTGTTGGAGAGAGAAAGGGCCAAATCCTGCCCGTTGTGAGTAAGCCAAGAGGGTAACCATGGGAGCAGCGCTTTACTCACAACTGGATCCTAAAACCCTCTACTGAGAAAGAAGATAATCCAGGTTGCCTTGCAGTAGATGAAGAGCTGCAACAGGACCCTGGGGTGGTTTTGTTTCACTTGTCGGAACCAAAAGAAATGAGTACGAATGAGAAAACTGTACGTATTGTAGATACAGTTATACTCAGGCTAATTTTCCTGTAATTTACCAGTGTGGGTTTGTCTGCCCTTTACAGGCATGAATAACCGTGAAGTCTTGGAGCAAGTAGAACGTGGTTATCGGATGCCATGTCCTCAGGACTGTCCCATCTCCTTGCACGAGCTTATGATCCACTGCTGGAAAAAAGACCCAGAGGAGCGTCCAACTTTCGAATATTTGCAGGGTTTCCTTGAAGACTACTTCACTGCAACAGAACCCCAGTACCAGCCTGGCGACAACCTGTAAATCCCTGGCCTCCAGACACTGTCATGAATTACCAGGTGTTTCTCAGCCCTGCCCCACCTGTCCTTCAGCTTCCAACTCCGTGATCGGCTTCTCCAGAGTGCAGCATCTTCCAGCACCGCCGTGCACAGGAGGGGCTGAAGCTGGGAACTTCCGCAGCCCTCGCCTATGACCCCTTGTCCTAGTAATCTGAATGTCCTGGATGAAAAGGAGAAAAACACTTGTTTTTTCTTAATCAAAGACTCCAAAACTGCATTGTATTGATGTTATGTAAACTGCAAAACCTCTGTTCATTGTAAATAGTAACTCAGTGCCAATAACTGATCCTAGTGCTTTCCTTTTTTTAAAACGCAAAACCTATGTGATTTTAACTAGTCTTCTCCTGATTCAACTAAAAGTATTATTTTCCAGAAGTGGCCTCTTTGTCTAAAACATTTTTTTTCATGTTTTAACAAATAAAAAAAAATCAGGACAGGTGTTTGGTTTTTTGCTTTTTTA